GTAGTCTCATGCTACTGGTCTTCTAAGATCATCTACCTCTGAGGTTTTCAGAGTATCAGAGAGGCCCAAGCATGGGAGAAGGCTGAGCCATCCACAGTCAGGTGATGGAGATGGGGTGACTGAAAAGTGGTGGTTCCTAGATAGTTTAGTAATTCCAGGTGGGCCCTATAGCTGCAGAGATGATGAAAGCAAGATCGACTTTTAGATCCTGATTTCCCTAAGCCTAGTCAGTGTAGCCAATGTAGGTAAATTGGAGCAGAGAAGCATTCTTCACGTCAAAGGATGGCAATTTCTCTAGACTCATAAATTCTCAAAGCTGGAAAGGGGCACTGACCTTGTAGTCTAGCCTCTCATTTTACGTATAGGGGAAATTGAGACTCAAGAGATGAAGTGGTTTGCTTAGGTCAAAAAGAGAGTTAGAGGAAGACTTTACGCAAGTATGTGAAAGAGAACATAACAGAAAAGCGAGACTTTCAAGCCATGCTTTCCAATATGTGTGCTCAAGGTGTGATGTAATCCTTTGGCTTTGACTAATAATAATTTTCAACGTTTAGAATTTCCTATGGGTTCAAGACATTACAGCACCTCAGTTAAATGAAACTAATCCCCAGGAAATAATCAGGTCTGTGTTTATTTTTAAAATATTTTCTGTTATTGGTATTTTGTCCTAGATATTTGGACTTCTAACAGCAAGGCAAATTCATGTCTGCATAATTTGGCAGTGCCAGCAGGGACTGTACCTCATCTGTTTCAGAGTCCTCAACTCAGTGAATGGCATGGGATAGGCACTCAAACACTTTTTGAGTTACAATTATACATTGTAGAAACATAGTGGCCATTATAGTCTGACAGACCTGGATGGGATTCCTAGTTCTGTCACTTACTAACAATGTGTCCTTGGGCAACTTATTTCCCCTCTGAGACCTTTTCCTTATCTGTGAAATGTGATGAGTATATACGTATACATATTCCTTTAAAATACTACTTGCAAGGACCTAAACCCTCAGCATGGTGCCTAGCACATGCACTTTTGGGATTTTTTTTTTTTTCCCTCCTTAGTGGAGGCATTGGAATCTAAGATTATGACAATACTTAAACTAAAAAAAAAAAAGTGTCCTTGTGATTTTTACAACTCTGTCATTGCTCACTCTCAATTCATATCCTACCCCACTGTCTTTTCTCCTTCTCTCTCTTTGCCTCAAAGAAAACTGATGGAGCCATATAAAAAGCTCCAAGATATAACTGACCTTGTGCACCTTTAATTGAGGACAGAATTTGCTAGTGTGTCCAGAAACCCACCAGTGGTTTACTTTATAATCTGTGTCCTGGCTAGACTGGCTGTTGGCTATATAATTTGTCTAGTTTTGTCTGGAGTCTTAGACTATTCGGCTGCTTCAGGGCAAAATCTTGTGAGGTGTTGGGATTGATAATTGGCTTCTGATGAATATTCATTGTGACTAATGACTTTGAGCAAATTTTACACATACTATCTTTCTATTCTTCCACTGAGTGAGATTTTGATAGAATCATTTTCCCCAACTTGCACTTCAATTATATATTCACAATACCTCTTTGTTGACTACACTCTAAATTACATACTTTCATTACTTTAAAATTCTGTATTCTGTAAGTAATGAGCATAGGTGTTTAGGACCTTTGTTTTAAATATGGGATTTCGTGTTTATTTAAAATAAGTGACTAATGATAATTTACGGGACATAGTACATTATTTCTGTTAAGCATAGATATATAGTAAGACTTTTTTTGTAATCAACTTAGCCACCATTCTTAATGATGCACATAGTTTGTGCCATTTAGTATTTTGGAAAAGAGCCAAGCAGTCTGTTTTGTTTGTTTGTTTTCTTAATCAAATGGGTGAATGTATTTTACCCCAATTGCAGAGATTTGGTCTTAAGAAAACTCCCTGATGAAATGATCAAACATCGTAAAGCTTGATTTTTTTTTTTTTTTTTTAAATGAAGGATAAGTAATTTTTAAATCTTGGCATTTGGATTGGTAGTTTTGTTTTGGGTTTTTTTTTTTTTTTTTTTAATTTTAGGTTAAGGAGACATGAACATAGTCTGAAGATAAGATCTCTGCTACTTTATCACTTATGACAGAATTTTGACCTAAACCAATTTAAGCTAAAAAAAAAAAAAAAAAAAGTCAGATAATTAAATTCTGTCTCAACCAGGACTATTCTGTTGAATGATATTTTTGAAGAGAATTGCAAATTAATTCATGTGGTGATGTTTCCTTACATTTGTATGGTACATTATAGATTCTTAAGCGCTTTTATTTATTTATTTGATGTGTTATAGGGTTACAGGGTAGGAATAATTTTTGAATGAATAGGTGAATGAATGCAGAAGTGAATGACTTGGTCTTTCCAAAGTGGCATATTTACTATTATTGTTTTGAAATTTGACTCATATGCCTCACTCTGTGAGACTCAGGATAATGTTGGTACAATACTGCTAAATGCCAGTAACTAAACTATCTTCATATTGTAAATATATCCTAAGTAAGAATTATTTTGTATCTGTTCAGAATGTATCATATTAACTAGTGCATGTGTACGTGTGTGTGTGTACACGCTGTGTCACTGAGAACATGGAGATGAAGAGAGACAAGGTCTTTCTGTACTTTACAGTTGGGGACAAACATGCAGACAGTTATAGTACAGTTAGGAATGAGGACCTGTGCCCAGGGGAGCCAGGTTAGACTTCAAATTGGAAGTATTTACACAGAGTCCTGAGGGAGGAGTTTGCTAGGGGTATAAATCCAGGCCAGTTTAGGGGTCAAATGGAAAGAGAGGGAAGGAAAGAGAGTAAATAACTATCCCTAAGTCTGGAAATGATTTATTCTGAGGATAAACTTGGAGAAGACAGTAGATAGTGTGGTTGGAAATGCTACTTTAGAGATAGCCTGGAAGCTAGTAGAGACATCCTGGGCCAGACATGCCCTCAGAGACTCCTGAGCAGGAAGTGATGTGACTGGACCTACACTTGAGTAATAGTACTCTGGCAGCTAGTTAGAGGGTGTGCAGCAAGAGCCCAGAGCCATGGAACCCTCCAGCCCGACTTCAGGGTGGAATCGAAATTAGGCTGATTCATTCTCCACTCACTCAATACTAACAAGGAGTTTTCATCTCTAAGAAACCCTGGAGGGATAAGTTGTGTATATATATACATGACAGCCTCGTTTATATGAGAAACTACCAAAATATATTAGGAAGGGATGGATTAAACCTATAAACTGTGGCAGAATCACTAGGAACAGCTATTGAACACTTGCTGGATCATCCCCTGTTGATGGCATCCCCTGTTGCTGGCATGTACCTGATTTCCACAACAGGGTCTAGAGAGGAATAACAGCCCTGGCTTTAATACACAGCTCTCACAACTGTGAAACATCAGCAGAATATCCAATTTAAAGTTGTTCATGTTACACTAACCTCTGGGATTCTTTTAACTGGGCCTTGGCACGTCACTCTTTCGCCACGTAAATGTCCTTCTGTCAGCAAAGGCCAGTTAACAACTTCCAAAAGAAGCAAAGTCCTCTTGGGAACAGACTTCCCTGAAACCAAAGAAACATTAAAGAAAAAAGACAGAAAGAAACATGTGTTATTGGCTTTTGTCACTTCATAGCTATTTCTCCACAGGTTGGTTTCTTCCTTTTTCTCACTATATTGAATTTTATAGCAATTGTGTCCATTTATGTTATCTTTGTTTCCTAAATTTTTAATGGTATGATATCTCTAGCTGTTAAGGAAAAAAAAAAAGAAATACAAAATAGAGGGCATGTCAAAAGAATAGGGGGAGGAAGGATTAGTCAGTAAACAGTGCCAGAACAATTGATTAACTGTGGAAAAAATAAATTCACACCTCAAGTCTTAAACCTAAATTAATTCCAGATGGATTAAAGAGTTAAATGCTGGGGAAAATTTTGAAGGACTTTCTTAAGATAAAAGCAGTGGAAATCACTGTGAGGGAGAATATTTGTCTATGTAATTATTCAGACCTCTCTGTACCCAGAAATTCAAAGAAAATTAAAGATAAATTATTTTCAAAAACATTACAAAGTATGGATATTCTTTGCATATTATTAGTGATTGCTTATAAATCAGTAAAAGTACTAATACTTTTAAAAGTGGGCTAAGAATATGAACAAGCCATTTATCTAAGAAATCTAGTCAATAAACATGTGACAGAACTTTCAGCCGTAGTCATGATCAGAAAAATAAAAGTAAGATGAATATATTTGAAAGCTACTAACTAGAGTATTTAGTGCTGTTCAGTGTTGGTGAGGGGCAGAGAGGCCGATATTGTGGAGCATGGCTTGTGGAGCAGGGGAATATAAAGAGCCTCCATCCTTCATCTATTTATTATTCTAACATATTTATTATATTTATATATTTATTAAGTGCCTTAAAATATTTATATCATGTATGTCTGAATTCTACATCTAGAAACACTATGTGAAAATTATTGACCTAATGTAACTATATAATATAATGATAGTAGAGTAGTTAAAATATGGAGCATGAGTATCGTTAAAATATGTATTTTCTAAGAACAATTAAAGATGTGGGAAAATGAATCAAATAATGTTGACTTTTTTAAAAAGCAAAAGAATACTGTATTTATAGTAATCCTAATTTTATTAGAAAAAGAAATATAAGTGCTTATATAATACCCTAAGATGTTAAATGATCTTCAGATGATGGTAACTTATTTTTTAAATTTTTTTCCTCCATTTTCTAAGTTTTCTACTGTAATTGTGTGTTAGCTTTGTAATTAGGGGAAAACGTAATTTGAAGAGAAAATTCTCACTAAATTTGAATTTGGGTGATTAACTTAGAATTATTTCTCCAGATTTTTCAGCTTATCTTTTAAATACGTCGATGAATATACATGTAGTTTTATTGTTGAAACCAAATGGCAGTGTCTCTTCCCTTTGATTTTTTTCACTGAGCCTCTGCTTTGCATCTGTTGCAGTTGACTGCCTGCATCCACGGGTCTGCAGCGATGCTCTATCCCATGTACTGGCAGCATGTGTACATCCCTGTGCTGCCTCCACATCTGCTGGACTACTGCTGGTAAGGCTGCTGCTGACCCTGTCCTCTACTTTTCCTTTTCTAGGAATTGACTGCGTATGTTAGGTCTGTCACTTATTAATGCCATTAGTGACTCTAAATTAAAAAATACTAACTTCGCAATGGCATGGGTTTTATATCACTGGATTGCATGGCACTTTTGTTTCTAAAAGGTTTTCATATATGCCATGACATTCTGAAGCATTCAAGAGAGTAGATATTACTTCCCACTTCTCAGTTTGGGGAAGCCAAAGCACCAAGAGGTTGTGCGCTTTTTCCCCCCCAAAACAAATTGGGAACTGGGAACAGAAACAATTGAGATGCCCAAGGTCTTCAAGTTTCATCTGTACCCTGGCACATTCCTTAAGACTTTTGCTCAACTGTGGTTTGGGAGCACAAACCAGACAAAGCAAAACCCTCTGAAGTTTTTTGATGAGAATTTTACTGTTCTGTGAAATATGTTTTACTGGAAGAAAGAAACAGATTTTGGAGTCAACTCTGCTACCTTGGGCAAGTTTCTTGGTTTTAAGACTTTGTTTCCTAATTTGCAAATTGAAGTTGTTCAATAGTGGGAAACTGCTGAGGGTGGAGTGGCACTCATCAACAAGGGCACCTGCATAATGAACATTTGTATACCTAACCCTGAACGGTACCCCACATTTTTAAAATTAAAATTTTTTTTTTAAAAAAAGGCCAGGCACAATGGCAAAAGCCTATAATCCCACCATTTTGGGAGGCCGAGGCAAGAGGATTGCCTGAGTTCAGGGGTTCGAGACCAGCCAGGGAAACTTGGTGAAATCTTGTCTTTACAATATATCAAAAAATAAGCCAGGTATGATAGCGTGCAACTATGTTCCAGCTACTTGGAAGGCTGAGGCAGAAGGATTGCCTCACCCCAGCAGATCAATGCTGGGGTGGCTGTGAGTGTACCACTGCACTCCAGCCTGGGCAACAGAGTTAGACTGCAACTCAAAAAAAAGAAAAGAAAAGAAAAGAAAAGAAAAAAATCCAAGCTCTGGATTAAACAGCAACAACAAAAACAGATGAAACAAGATAACATATGAAAGGATCCCATGTAAAAAAGCTTACTCATAATATATGCTCAGAAAATGTTTCTGCAAAAGCATTATCATCCTCACTATCTACCTTTAATAGATTACTAGAAGAGACTGTGTGACTGATCTGGATCTGTTTTCCTTATGAATAATTTCTTTTTCTAGTGTAATGTGATTATAAACATTGTCTTCAAACAGCTCAAGTCAGCTCAAGGGAGCACAGTACATATACAAGGGGGGACCCAAAAGAAATTATCTTTTGGAGGATGGGTCTTTTGTAGTACAGGCTTCCCCTGGTTGGTAAGTTCTAGGAATGCATCATCATCAGTTTACCAGCTAGTGTTGTTGTAAGAGACAATTTATGGAAGAAACGTCCTGAGTTGTGGCAAATAGGTGACGGTTCTTCTAGTATGAAAACACACCTGCCCACACTGTACTGAATGTTCAGCAGTTTTTGACCACAAATGGCATGACCCCCATACTCTACTCCCCCTATTCACCTGATCTTGCCCCAGGTGACCTTTTTTCTGTTTCCTTGGATGAAAAAAGTCCTCAAAGGGAAACATTTTGCCAATACATGAGGTTAAACAAAAAATGGCAGAAGCACTAAAAGGCATCAAAATTGACAAGTTCAAAAACTATTTTGAGCAGTGGAAAAAGCATCTCGATAGGTATATTGCTTCAAACGGTGAGTACTTTGAAGGTGACTGAAGTTTAAACATGCAAGAATAAATACACAATTTTTTAATAAATAAATTCCAGGTTTTTGGGGGTCCCTCCTCATAAACCAAAGTATGAAGAGACATAGAGAAAAAAATGTGGGGCCCAGTCATCTGATGATCAAGAAGAAATTTAAAATAAGCCGGGACTACATACTCCACATTGCCCCTTAATCTCATAAGAGGCAGGAGAAAAGCATAGATATGGAGACTCACCTTTGAGAAGAAAGATATTTAATAAAGAAGTAGGCCAGTTTACTTGGTGCTGTGTATAAGAGAGAACCACTGATTTTTACCTGGTGGTCCTGTTCTATACCTTTGTTATACGTATGGCTTGTTGGGAGAAGGGTAAACCCAATACATTCAAATTAGGAATGACTGTGGAATACCTTTAAGCTCCCAGGGCAATCTGGCTACCTGAGTGAACCTTTTCTGTGAGATGAGTACAAAACGGGCTGGAGAGCCCAGCAAAAATTATGACTGACCTGGACTCAATCATATGAACCAATGGTAAATGTTCTGAGTCATCTGTTCTTAAACAATAGGGCTATGACCCTTCAAATGCATCCCTTCTCCTGAGGCTCTCAATTTCTGACAGGCAGTTAGTGCCTTTCCCTACACGTAATTGGAAATTAGTTTCCATTAATGATGACTTCCAGGTACTGTGTGTCTAAATTTCAGTTTTCATCACTCTGGAAAAGGTAGGAAATAAAGTAATTTTTGCAGATAGGAAGGGGTAAGGATATAAACCCATCATAAATTTCACCACATTGCATTAAACATGTGGGTTTCCTCTCTTCCTCAGGGAGTGTTTTTAAATCTCATGGTCCATCCTAAACCCCCTTCCCTGTATCAAGTTCTCCAGCATCTCTCCTTCCAACTGGGGACTCTAGAGAATGCTGAATTCTCTCCAAGTGAAGCTGTTCCTTCTGCTCCCAGGCTCCAAAAGTGAAGATTGTTAGACTCCTGTCCCTGCTACCATGGCCTGTTGCAAGCTCCACTCTTGTCATTTGGCTTCTAGTGTAGCACCTGGAACCTTCATCACTACCTCATCACCATCACCTGCTTGTCTCCAGGATCTCCATCACCTGTTTGTTTAGACATCCACAATGCCTTTTTATCTCTCTCTCTGATGTCCTCGGTGGCTTCAGAATCCACCCTGTTGGCCTCCCCTTACTCCCACTGAGTTCACATTTTCTGTACAAAGGGGGACCCAAAAAACGGAATTTATTTATAAAAAATTATGTATTTATTCTTACATTTTTAAACTTTAGTTAACTTCAGAGTACTCTGATGCAATAAACCTATCGAGATGCTTTTTCCACTGTTCAAAACAGTTTGTGAACTCATCAGTTTTGATGTCTTTTAGTGCTGCTGCCATTTTTTGTTTCACCTTTTCCTTATTGGCAAAATGTTTCCCTTTGAGAACTTTTTTCATCTGGGGAAATAAAATAAAAGTTGCTCAGGGCGAGATTAGGTGAATAGGGAGAGTGGGGCATGGGAGGTCATGCCGTTTTTGGTCAAAAACTGCTGAACACTCAGAGCAGTGTGGGCAGGTGCACTCATAAATCATCCATCATGAAATAGGCAAACACTTTGTTTAAATCTTCAAAAATAAATTCACTGAAGCAGAACACAGCCTCTCACAACAACACTGTAGTTGGTACACTGATGCCGACGGGTTCCTAGAACACTTACCTAGTGGAGGAAGCCTATACTACAAGGGGTGGGCCTGCCTTCCAAAAAATAATTCCAGTGTTTTTGGGGGTTTTCTCCTTGTATCTCATCATCAATAGAGAGATTACTTCCCCTTCCCTAGTAGAGTCCATGTAGAAGTGCAGACAAGGACATGACTGAGAGGAGAACATCTGAGTTCCTGTCTCAGCTCCATTACTGCCTAGCTCTGTAGCTTAGTGCAAGTGACTATGCCTCTCTGAATCTCTTTCCTTATCTGTGTAGGGTTAAAAATACTGAAACTTATTTGTTTTTTCAACCGTATCCAAGAAAAAATAGCGTATGTGCAAGAGCACTTTACAGAATAAAAAGCACCATCAGCCACCCAGTAGGGTGACACACCTGTGTCATTAAACCATTTGAAGCTCACTCAATTCCCACATCTCTGGCCTCAGATTTTTCCCTTCAATTCAGACTTCTCTCCTTGGCTATGTCTCCTTCCCCCTTTCTTCTGAACACCCTTTGTGTATTTACCATGTCTTTCCTCCCCACCCCTTTGTGGATGCCTCTCAATTCTACCTCTTAATTAACCCCCTCTGGTTTGCTTACTTTTCTGCTTGCTCTGGACCTTCATGAACTTTCTCATACAAAAACCTGTTACATGCTGATCTTGCCATGTATCAGGTACTGTGCTAAGTGCAGGGAAGACAGAGATGAGAGTCAGTCTCCATCAAAAGGGACTCAAACAGTTGGGTGTGAGATCCAGGAACATAAACAGATCATTTTCATACTACCTTTTGAGATCCATGAAAGGAGCTATTCCAGAGTGTTTCACCAGTTTCCTAGAGACTCTTGCTTCCCTGGACCTGCCCCTGACCATCTCTACCATTTTCTTCTCTGCTGCTTGTCTGGCAGTCATTGCTGGGGAAAGTCCGAGAGCCACTGCAGAGAGGACCCACTAAAGAGTGGTGGTGTCTGATCTTAGCTTGCCCTCCATCTTGTACCAGGCACGGGATGGGTTGCATTCTTATCTCTGGTGAGAAGAGAGAGGCCATAGGGTCTGTGTTCCCACAACTGCCTTTCATCTGAAAGCTTTGTCTGAAGCCTTGTTACTTGCTGCCTGCCTGTATTCTCCTCTCCTACCACTCCCGAAGAAGGAAGAGTGGACCATCCAAAGCCATTGACTTCACCTGGATCTGGGTTCCGTCTCTTGAGGATTCTCTGTGACCCATCTAAACCACTGTTCTCCCTGGTATTATTAAACTTCCCTTTCCACTACCTCCCTCCTCTCCCTACAAATGTTCTCAGGTGTCCCATTTCACAAACTCGACCTCTGGTTAAACTTCCTGTTCTTCTTGAGCTTCTGAGCCAACTATCTTGGTTTTTTCACTGTCATATATCTCAAAGGAAAGAGCCATATTTGCTACTTAATAGTGTGTTTTATTGTAGCAGTGAAAGGGTGGGAAGCTGGGCAGAGGCACACATTGATTCTCAGAGAGGAAGAGGGCCACAAGGAGAGAGCGGGGGGTGGGGGGGGGAAGAGGAAGAAATAAAC